ATTTTTTTTTTTTCTTGAACTTCGATTCTGCACGATTTTGCCCCCCTGCTTCAGGGCTAAAGTAAGAGGGTACAAAAAAAAGTGCACAGGGTACATTCAAGTACTCAATGAGTAGAATCCAAACCAACAAAAAAAAGTTAGATTTTTCAAACTTCGATGCCAACTTCACATAGCTAATAAATTTCGCAGGATTGACTCACGACTTTTACGACAATAAGTGATCACCGGATGATGAGGCACGAAGACTGAACTCTTCTATTCGATTAAAAAAGTATAAAGTAATTGATCATACGATCGGAGAGTCTATATCGAGGTGTATGTACTTATGAGCAATTCATTATCCGGGGTTAATCACTCATCAATCATTCGTGAGGAGTTAAATTGTCGTTCGATCGTTTCCGGGAAAGATACCGAAGGAAGTTATAATTTGTGAATTGGTGTATGTGTCAATTAAAGAATTAATAGTTGATTATATACTAATTTATGACAATTCATTTCGCTATTCGTGGAGAGTTGTGGCACAAGGAAGAATTATAATGCATGAAGAATTCATAAATTTACAATTCATCCCGGTATATGCAATTCTTACTGTTACCAACGTCTCAATTTTAATCAAATGAGGAAGCCTCACCGTTATGCAAACTTGTTTCGAGGTGCTATCCTCTTGAGACTGGTCAGCTACCTCGTCTTGGAAATAGTGCATTGGAGTTCACGAAATATCTCTCAAGCAATTCGATCGATCGATCAGCAATTGATGGGTCTCATTGAATAAAATATCCAGAACGTAACCAGGAAGTTGACACTTATTGTTTACAATGCCAAATGAAAATAAGGGGGAAAGCCGCGCGCAGCGTACGCTCTTTTTGTCGCAACAATATCCGCGATAAAACACGAGTTTTCGATTTTATCTTGAGGGAAATACGCACTCGTGGAAATCGCACTTGAAAAAAATTTATAATGATAATTCAGCGAAATTTGAAAATTCCTTGCTATTTTCTATTGGGGCCTAAAATTTTTTTACGACGTCTTTTCCATGCGCCGTTTTTTTCCCTGAATTTTTCCGTCGGAATTTTTTTTACGGCGATTTTTGTCGCGGGTTTTTTAGACATGGATCCAAAAGTCGATGGGATATCCGAGATTATTGAAAAATATATATTGCATAAAGTGAACTCACCTCGGCCGCCATAAACGCATAAGTGTTGAAGGACACGAAAAAAAAGGCTGCAGCAGTCGATAGTAGAAACATGAACAAGGACAGCCCCAGGATTGCGCCGAGTAAACCCAACAGACGTGCATGACTCCAACCTGGTGTCGTCGGTGAAAATGATAGCTGCAACAAATGCAAAAAAAAAAAGTCATAATTCAATCAATTCATTTGAAAAATTACCCTCATTATAGAAGCTATTATACAACGCGACTTGCGTGGATAACTGGTTTATAATTATCACGAAATATCGAGTATCACAAAACAAGTTTATTCGCCTCAAGTTATTTTCTGATTTGGCGTTAAATTAAACGAGTAAAAAGCCAATGTCAATATTTCAATGCCATGTTGCGTAAATTTACAACAGGCAGAGGAATGGAAATTATCGTTGATTAAGTGGATTTTTTTCTCACGTGCCATTCGGTTTTCATGGGTAGATGAAAAATACGTCACTTTTATAAAAAGCCCCATCTCGTCGCCAGTAACCTGGTTACTTTATTGGATTTCTCTAACAGGATTTAACGAGTGTCAAATTCATTGCGCAAGAGGGAAGTGTGCGGAATGGCAAAATTATAAACGCGTTCTGTGGAAAATGTTCAATCACCGAAATCAATGGGTGATTGATTCCATTTCTATAGAACAATATTTTAAAAATACTTCACGTCGTGATTTTTGGGCGATGGGTCAATACAATATTTAAGAGTCCTGAATGTATCAAATTATATAAATTTTATGGCTGCGATTTATTTATATCTTCAATTTTGATACCGGAGAAAATTTAATCGCCAATATGAAGAAGTTTCTCGATGAGAACTCTACAGTCAACCCAATTCAGCGTGTATTGTTCTCAGCTGAGTCGGGAATTTTCTCTTTCTTAAAGGTGACGGAGTGAGTTTGTGATTAAGTGAGGAAAAAGCTGTAGATAAGTGGCAGTCCTTGAGTCACCTAAGGAAATTGGAACGCGGACAATGTTTCCAGAATGGCCTCTGAGGAGCTCCGCAGCTCATCCTTTCCCCCCCGGTTTCTCACCGTGAAAATCGAAATATACACCCGAGAGAACAAGGCTCAAAGATCAAAGGATCTATTCCAGATTTAAATTTCAAACGATTTACGAACTTGAGAGGCTTTGAAGACAAGTATGAATGAATTATGAGAATAAATATAGTTAATCGAATCATTCCGTCATATCGACATTGGCTCGTGCGTATATCGAGGATTTGAATAATATTTGAAATGGCATTGGAATTGAAAGTTTTTTTTGTTTTTTAATTTTGAGACAATTCGTTTATTCAATTTGTTGAAATAATCAAAAGTGAAAGGCCATTTTGAATTGATCCACAAGGACAGACGGTAATTGTCCAGATAAAACAATAAATTCAGTGTTATATTACTTACATATACGAATCGATCCTTCGACAATTGACTCAAGAGCCCGAGAAAGCCAAGTGCAGTGAACCAGGCCCACCACAACACCACCTCATCCGCATACTGTACATTGAGAACACCGAAGACAAATATGAATTTATAGAAAATGAAATTGCCAAATTTATCCTTCAGGTGTTGTCTTTCGGAGGCTCGGAGTTCACCGAACACTAGCTTCTGAATGGTCTTTCCCAGAAGAATCAGAGCGCAGTACGCCATATTCATCAGCGGCTGCAACAGCGAAAAATAATACATCGATTTAATTATTTATTTCCAATGGGGTCAAGGAATCATGGAAAAATAATAAAAAAAAAACTTCATCATTACTACTGCGATCCAATCACTCCGTCCAATAGATCCATTTATAAATTTTATCTAGTATTTTCGTGATTGCGTGAGTCAGTACCAGAGTATCCAAACTCAATTTTTAAAAACTGCCACATTTTTATTTTCCGTACAAAATCTCCGTTTTCCGCCATTTAATGGACCGCGTTTTTGAGAATTTAATTGGCGGACGACTGAGGGCCGTTTATCTCTATGCTAATGAAATAATATTGAACAATTGCTCATTGCGCTTTCTATCGTTGTGCCGTTGTTTACAAGTTAGATTATCTGCCGGAATGCTGGAAATATGAAGGTTCGCGTGCATTCCTCGTCTATATTGCAGTATACTAGTCGAATAGTCATGGCACGTTTTTTTATAAAAAATGATAACGATGGATGATAATGACAATCAACGAATTTCAATTGAATTAATATGGATCGTTATTTTCACTTCGTCAGATGCAATTCTGACCTTTAACTAGAGCAGAAATAAATGAAAGTGATATCTTCCCATCATTAAAAAAAGGTAAACGACGGAAGCAGTAAATTAACGATCACGTAATAAAATGAAATGCAATATTTAATGCTGAATGATCCTTCCATAATTGCTCGGCTTGTGGATATTCAAGGATTTTTTTAATTTCCTTCTAAACGAGGAAGTGCGACATTTCCATGTGAAAGTTAAACTGAGTAATAGTGGCCGTAATAATTGCCCAGCTACTCGGTTGAAAACAGAAAATATTCAGAAGAAAAAGGCAGACGTGTACAAACGATTGTGTCGTGATAGATAATCGGAGAATATGATAACGGCAATAGTTCCGAGGGAAATACATTTCCGTATTTTTTAGATGCTTGCATGGAATTAATGTGTGAGTCAAAGGCAAGAACTGACCAAAGACATTAATGGAAAAGCCTTCATGCACATTTTTCCGCATTTTTGAATATGTAATATATTTCCACGAGTCACAGAAGAATAAATATGATTTTGAGGAAATCAATAAAAACCGCGTACTTTCAATGCAAATCCGCGCATGACGTACCACAAGTAATAGTCAGAGCAAATAAAAATGAATTTAAAAGAGAATCACTCTGTGGTATGCTCTCCCTCTCTGAACCCATGTAATTTGTCAGAAATGCCAACTCACCCAAAAGCAAATGGGCTCCTGAATCATGCAGGCGAGTAGTTCTTTTAAATGAAGTCCCGGCGATCTCGAATCAGTGGGATTGATGCTATCCGTTGAATTCTCATCCCTCACAACAATACTCGTATGATTTGTCCTCCATGCTGGGTCTTTCACAATCTGTGCTGCATAGTAAACCGAACACGAGAGTATTGCAATGCTGAGTGTTGTGTAAATTCGAAAATTGGGTACTGGCAGACGCGCCAGGAACAAGGCAGGCATTGTTCGCTCCAATGTTGTTTGTATTTTATGAAATTCTCAAAATGTTTATCTGCAACAGAAAATAAATAATTTCATAGTCAATAAACGATACGTCGTCAATTTTTTAATCAACCTACATACAATTTGAATAAAAAATATTTGCGCTCGTGCAATGGTCGTGGACAGTATTGCGATAGATCGTGATAGCACTTTAAAAATTCAAGAACCAACTCAGTTGCGGTTACACTATAGAGTCAAATAGCCACGTAAGAGTGAAACATCATTTTCTATATTGTAAAAGGTTATTTTCTGACACAGTTCTCCGGGGTAATTGGTATATGAGCATTGCCTACCACGACGTAGTATTGAAAAGCCAATCGAGGCGACTAAATGACAGACAGTCAAATCCGTGGAATAATACTTTTTGATAACAGATAAAAGCATTCCATGTGCAAATTAATAACTTGACAGCCAACATTGTGAGTCGATAATTTCACGTGGGAAAAATAACGATAAAGGGACAATGACCTTTCCGATTACTTCAGGCATTAGCCACGAGGAAGCAGACAATTAGAGTCTCAATCAGACTGCGTCTGATCGAGTCTGTACTGGTTTTTCTTCAACCAAGACCGAACAACATGGATGTTACCATTATAGTTTTTTTATACACTGAAAGCTGATTAGAAATAGCTGGTTATGAATTAATCATCGATATATCAAGTGAATGGCCTTCCCCGTTTACTTCTCTTTTTTTTTTATCTCAAAAAACCTCTGGAAGATTTTCGCTTTCACCAAATCTGAGATTTCCATGATTCACGTGTTTCGGTGTTTGTGCACACACAATCACGTACTCACGGATTCTACCGTGTAATAAACCACTTAAATAAAATCATCCGCACGATTGTGAGTTGGTAATCGATTCGAATGAATTCATCAGTGACTAATCCACGTGGTGAGTAATCAAACGTAATGATGTGGGGTCAGTTTACTAACATTGATTAACGGTGAGACCGAGAGGGATCTGCAGGATAAGTGGCACAACGTAGAATACCTTCCTTTGGAATATTAATAATTTTGTTCGATTTTTTAAAATAAATGTCAACTCTCATGAACAATTTCATATTAAATTCAATTGAACGGGGCTTTGTAATCGAGCTCCAGTGGAATATTTATAAATTTAAACGACAGAACAAAATTTTATCTCTCTCTTCTACGTTGGAATAACAATTACGTAATACATATTTATAAAAATTCCTCGCGGATTCAGAAATATTTATATAAAACTAACGTATTTTTTAGATTGACATGTTACCCTTTATTTATTAGATAATAAATAAAATCCCGGAATAATGGAAATTCAGGTGCAATCGTTGGAGGGAATTAAAAAAAATGTTCAATACTGTAATTGCTAGGAAACTTCGTATTTTATGGATTCGGATGGCGTGTCCTTTAACCCTTTCATATGCGACACCGAAATGGATCGATATTGAAACGTTTGAGCTCTAGTCTTTGGGTCGATCTTCTACGCTTGTTGGATTAGTCTAAAGCAACTTGTACGAGCAGTGAGTAGATACACGTGGCGTTATACTAACACCATAAAATATTGTTACAACTGCGTTATAACTATTCTGCTGGAGGCTATTGTTGCAGGATACTGGATAATAAATGGGCAGTGTTGAAAGTGTTAATTAGTTTGACTTCCTTGTTCGTCGAGTTATTCGATTTAAAATCGATGGATTGCTTTCTAAAAATAGTACTGATAAAATATTTTAAATCTTCAGACATTCCAATATACCGTAATTATAAAATTCAGTAATGCACACGTCCGTGAAATAAATGTAGCAGTTGAAGCAGTTGGAGCAATAAAAATCTGGAATGTCATATTTTAGTCTGTTATTAAACAATATTTCAGATAAACTGAACATTTCCGGTAAACCTGACACGTTCACGGTCTTACTAATTTTTTTAAATAAAAGTTTCCTTTACATGGGTTTTTTATATTCATTGAGTTATTCAAATTAAAAAATTATTGTTATCCTCGAGAGTCAATCATTTACTCTTCATGACACTTGACTTATTTATCGCGATGAACCGTTATTTTCACTCTGGAATTGATGACTCATTTTCTGTTAGACAAATCGAAAACTTTGCGCTCCACGAAATCGTAGATTAAATAATATAATATAATGGTTTTATGTATAAATTCATAGATTGATTCCCATTTGAGGTTGAACTGATTATTTTTATCCGAACCTTGAGGTGAATCAACCTTTCACAATTTCAACTCTTTGATTTTATTCCTTAAGTGTCTTACGCATTAAATGAATCATTCCTGTCTCATCCGAACCGCAATGACGAGACACAAGAACAAACATCGGCAAAAAAAAAAGGAGCCTCTTAAAATCAGGTGTCTGAACATCTGGCAGTGGCAGCCGAGTCAACCGTAAAAAATCCAGACGTCCCGAATAACAACAAATATTTACCCTCCATCAGAAATAAGAAATACAGACCAAAAGTCACGAGTCTCTTCAGACTATTTGACACAAATAAAAAAATTCCAATTGCAACTCAACTGTCAACGCCCACTGTTCAATCTAGAAATACATAGCTCAATCCTATTCAAAGGACTGACACCATGAAGAAAAATTTAAAAAAACTCGAGACAATCACCACTGAAAAATGAGAAAAGATGTTACAATGCAGCTGATCCGACATTCCCCTAAAACCCTGAACAATATTTTTTATCAACGATCATGAGAATAGAATAAAAACAAATGATGCAACATTCCGAGGCCAAAGACGCGGTCTGCCAAATAATTTTTCGTCGTCGGATGATTTTATTTATAAGCACCTTGATCATGCGTCTCACGTATTCATTGGAAAATTACAATTCTCATTTGCCCGAGACAAGCCAAACCAACCCTGTCAAAAGTCTCATACACAAAAATTTCATCCCCAATTATCAATCTACCCTATAATAATATGGCAAAGTCCATGTGGATTACTCCACTCACCGATAAACTCTCACGTTGCGACATTCCACACTCCCGTAATTTTTTATTCACAAATTTGATAAATGACTGACCAATTGATACGTGACACCGGTAATCGACACTGATGTGATTTCACTCGTTACACCAACTATTGTTCCCTTTTCATTTGAGAGGATTAACTTCGCGAGAAGCCGACACAGCACTCAACATACAACCGTATCGTCCCTCAATCTACCACTGCGTGTCATGGTTAAAATTTCAGTGAGAAACGCAGAAAGACCAGGAGGGGAGAATCGAGAAATTGACAAGGAACACAATCCAACAAAGTCTCAACTGATAATGTCGGATTTTATAGCGAATTGGAATTTTGATGGAGCGACAGTAGAATTGTCGCGATAATCGCGACATCTACTCAATCCACGAACATCCTGGCTCCACCTGTCATGATCAGCTGATATTCCTCCAAGTACCCGCCACCGGATAGCTCTAACGATAACAGTGAAAATTTTGAATTTCCCCCCGTACCTGCGCACAATCCGCGAGTCATGCGATACCTTATCACTTAAAAATCGTATTTTTTTCAAATTTAAGATATTCATGCTTTTTCATATTTCCCATATTTCATATTGTGAATATCGGCAAGTGTTGGTCTGCGTTGGAAAGAATAAATTATTTACTGGGAAAAGTTATTTATTGCCTCAAGGCAGTCTTCCCCGTGTTTTATAATTGATTTTTTACTCATTTTAAAAATACGATATTTGCATACAGAAATGATTAACTCGACGTGAAATACAACGATGTAAATAATGTAATGTAATGAGAGATAAATGAGGATTTTTTCCGATAAATTTCAATTGAGGATCAATTTTTTATCGTACCTATTGGAGATTTGAATGATTATTTTAGTTTCTGTGATGAAAAGTGGAATTATGAAACGAGTCGACGCAATTATCTAGAAAGCATCCGGTGAACTTGAAATAGTGAAAATCCCGTCTCTTCTGAGTGATTGGAAATTTTGATGTAACCACCACGTGTGTCATCATCATGCACGGGTGTACGACTGGCTATTTTATAAAAGTGAAGAGAGAAGTATTGAAAGCCGGCAGTGGTAGATCCACATACACATATGTAATTGTCACACATACCCACGGTATATGATGATTCGTCGGGGCCGTTCACGTCGTCCCCGTATCTGTCCAGCACTCGATTCCTCTCTGCTCCGGCAACGACAAAACGACTCAACTATCCATATACCAGTTGGCCGATTGCTTTCCACGGGTTCACACTTTTACCATCGTGATTTATCATTGACAAGTTTTTGTTGTGATTCCATTATTATCGTTGAGATAACCATAACAGTCTCCGATTCACTAGAAAATCGACATGTGTGATTACTCGATGAATTTTTGGTGATCCAATAATCTCCTAGACTTGATAATATATATGTCAAAGGGTCAGAGAGAATTAATTTTATTTACGATGGAAAGTAAATAGGTGAAGTGACGAGGATCGAGTTGGTAGCGTTGACCTGTTGATGTCTGGTATCAGTCGATTTGATAACACGGCCATTCCACCACGGGAGCTGATATTCCAGATCATTTGGATTGTTCTGTAAACTTGTTAACATTCTTCCTAAATCCCTGTGATATAATTGATCCACGTGGATCTTAGCGCCATCTGTCACTGGTCCCGCACTCGATCGGTAATCACTGGCTGTTTTGTCAATTGAGTATCGATCCTGGATCACTCGCGAAATCTTTGTATGAATGTGATTTTTATTATTTTATCTAGACATTAACAGAAAAAATTCTTTGTTGGTTTATTTTTATCCTTAACAATGGGGGGAATTTGTGATACGTAGAGGTTACCAGATGCTCTGAGCATGAGTTAATAATAACTGGGCATGCGAAGATCTGCATAACCGAATCTGTTATATAAATAATCTGTTGTTTACTGGTTTATTCTGAATAAAAATGTCGGTTCGAGCCAGAGATTTTGGAAAATTACAATATATTTTCTAGTTTACGGATATTAATTGCATTTTTTTTAATGAAAATTGGTAATTATCGAGACGTGGATGCGTATCATTCTAGTTGAATAATAAATTGCGGCATGACTGGTGGTTTGGGGATAATAATTTATTGGGTTTATTTAAATTATTGAAGATCGCGTTTATAATATTTTAATTTGAATGCGTGTTTCATAGCTGATGACAAATCGAAGAATAACGAGGGCGAGAATGGCGGCAAAATCGAAAGAATCGTTGGCTGAAACTCATGATGTGACTAATTCAAAAGAAGAACCTCCTGGATCACCATCCGGTAAGTGATATAAATTAATAACGATTTTTAATTAGATTAAACAATTGTACATCAATTTCCGCTGGCTTTTCTATGATGTAATCCATTTTTAAAGAGTATAAATTAATAAAGATTCACAAAGAATCTTGAAATGTTTATATGAGTGGACTTGATAACCCCTGACCCTGAGAATTAAAAGTTAAAATGGCGGGAGACAAATCGGCGGTTTTGACATTGCATACTAGAGTTTATCCAGTCATTCAATCATCAATATCCAAAAAATTCTTTATTTGGCCATTTTTTTTTATCAGTCATGCTGCGATCATTCGGTAGTCAGACACTGTTCACGTTCTTCTCGGTTGAAAGATAAAATTAGTCATTCAGAGCGACAACTGAAGGACTCATCTCTCCTGATGACGGATTGAGAGGCAAACGAAAGATATTGTTTATATCCCATTGTCATTCTCATAACAGATAAACACGGCGAAGAAGTTGAAGGCGCGATAATTCTACAGCTTTCTATTCGTCGATTACGATTTTTTAAAAAAGCCCGTCATCAAGAAAGCGGGGAGAGACGAGAGAAGTTGTGTCAACAGTATAGATTAGAAATTATCTAAGAACCATTTTTTTTTATCTCATTGCATAGATCTTTTTTTAGTCCTAAAGTTAATTATAATTCATTCGTCATTAAGTATAAAGTAGATATTCTACTGTATAATTTTCGATATTGAGAAATACATACTGAAATGATTGTTCATGTAATAGCACTTAAATACCAGTATTCATCGCTTGATCACGATGTTGTCGAGTCCCTCACGTGTGGCTCAGACCTCTGTATTTTCAAAAAATTCTGCGCATACAATAAAAAATCCTCTGAAAAATTTCACACGAATAATCCTAGCCAGTGCTCACGAAAATTCTTCGAGACATCCGTCCGTTTTTTTCTAAACTCTCGGTGTACAATCTTGATTGCTGATTGAAGTTGATGCTCAAGTTGACGAGGAGAACTATTTTTAATTACGATTAGTTATTAACCAGGGGCATCATAATCAGGAAATTTTTCAAATGGTTATTACATCATTGTACGTCTTGCGTGTTGCCAATTCGAGTCACTGCTGCAGCATAATTGCAAATAATTTTCAATCGGCCTCGATTCATGAAGTAAAAAAACCCAATCCGTAAATTCAATAAATTATCAATTACGAATAATTATAATGCGTAATTATACTGAAAAGTGCGACATACTGCAGGCAACGTAATTATGATATTCGTCATATAATCAGTCACAAGTCTTTAACGGCAGTCTCTTTTCACCATTCAATATATTATTTTCAATTGAAATGTAAAACAATTCATTGAAACGAAATGCAAGGGGTATTTAGCAATACCTGTTTATTATTCACACTGAATAATCTACTCCGTATCCGTCATTATTCTAAGTTTCCAGACGACCCCGACGCCTGAACTCTTCATAAGTAAAGCAGGCAATACAGAGCCGAGTGGGTCGGAAAATTGGTATAATTGATTAACCGTTCCGCTTTATTATTTTCTTTCCATGCGTTTTTTGCTGCGCTCTCATGCTGTTTTTATTAATTTTTTTTTCCAAACACCTGTCCAGACACATTGTAGCGCTTATAATTACGAAACTAGTAAACCCAAGGCTGCGTTATAAATCGTTCTTTGAAAAATATTATGTTGATCTGAATTATTTTGAGGACTCGAGACGAGTGTTCATTTCAACAGGTTCACGAAGTCCATTCAAATGGTGTAATCAAATAAAACACACGTTTCCTAATTTTCTACCATAAATATTGGATTCATAATGGGTTACATTAAATTATTCTGTGATATCGACATCATTCGCGAGTACTGAGGGCAAGTTCTTTTGAATATACATTATAAATCTGGTACTAAAATTCAAATGAGTTCAAAGGTGTCCATAAATTTCCCCAGGACTCGCTAGAAGACTTGAATCATTCAAGTAGGCAGCACCTGAATTACTCCATTGACCTCTCTATCCACCTTGCCTGTCAATGCATTAAAAGTCGGAATTCTATTTTCTGTAATCCATCTTGCATGCTCTACTTGTATGATAAAAAAAATCAGGGACTTACTCGCATGCATATCCTCGCGACTAACCACTCGTAATGAATGCCTCATTAAGAAAATTGTACAAAATATCCATAACTAGGCGATCAACGATATTATGTACAATTTCCTGTACACGGAAACAATCTGCTCTTCTCACTGTGGAAAATTATTTTTTATCCACTTTTTTTTTATTCTGATCGTTGAATATCACAAAATCAAGTGATAATTAATCAAATTTGTAGACAACTGTTACAGTTGTTGAGGAATGTGTGTGAATGGAATGAATGAATATTATTCCAGAAGAATGGGTTCATGACAATATTTTCATGAAAGTGAATGTTTTTTTTATGAATAAAAAACAGGAATTATTATTTTGTAACGGCGAGTATTGCAATTATTGTCTTCATTTTTTTTTCTATTTGCACATGCTTCCGTTTTATTGCAATCAAGTCGATAATCATAGATTGGATGCTACGGGGATTATCGAATAGCTTGTGTGGCAAGTCATCTTTATTGCTACTCAACATGTCAGCAACACTTGATGTGTATGATAACTCACCGACACGTCTTCAGCGCATGATTAACCGAAGAATGTGCATTATCTTCATCTTCATCTCTCAACAAAGTAATGTTTTTTTATTGAGAGGAGAGTCGAGAGGGGTCAGACGCGATAACCGTACCCGACTAGTGGAATATTTTCAAGAATGTACAGAGGGTATTACAATTTGATTGTACACGGACATATCCAATCTTTTTCTCATGTTCAAAAGGGGATTCGCAATGAGATATTGCTTCCCAGATAGAAATCAGGTGTTGGCTTATCGCTGAGTTCATTATCAATGGCATGTGGCAAGTGGTAAAAATAAAATCGCTATTTCACGCCGTTTTCATTTCTGGGCTTTTACCATCTCTGAAATTTTGTCAACGGTTC